TTCTTACTCCTTAATATATGGCTGACCCAAATCTGCTTAGCCAGTTGGCAGCGACCCTCACTCATTCTCCTTGGATATGTCCATTCAATAGATATTTACTGAGCACCTACTGGGTACCAGCCTGGTCTCAGGCACCAGGGACACGCAGTGAGCAAGACAGATGAGCATCCCTGCTGGGGACATTCTAATGGGAGAAACAGACGAGAACAAGATAAATAACCATGGCAACCCATGGCGACGTACTGCAGCCTGCTCAGACCTGTGCTAATGGGTTCATGGGTTGGGATATCGGCTGGCAAGGTGGAAGGTTTCTAGAAAGAACAAGGATTCAAGAATATATAAATGGGAGCAGAAAGGGGCGGTGAGAAATGGCAAAGCTGGGACTCTGTCCTTTCCTGGCACCAGGACCCCATCAGTCACAGGAAGAAGTCAAAACAGTGGTGAGCTCTTGCAATCTCTATTAAAGGGCGGCCAAAAACATGCGAAATTCTCAGGAAGACATTGTGGGATGTGGAGTCCCTCTGCTGTGGTTACTTCACCTTCGTAGGCACTATGCCTGGTGGGATTCCCACAATGGGCAAAGCCACGTGGTTAGCAGGATGCAAAGGTTTTCAAACAGACAATTCCGAATGGGGCATTTTCTATAGGACAATGGATCTGGTTTCTTCCATGAGTCAATAGGATGGGGGAAAGGAGGCAGGGTCTAGACTAAGTAAGTCTCAAGAGATAGAACAACGAAAAAAGTAAACACAGAATTACCATACGATCCAGCAATTCCACTTGTGGGTATACAGCCAGAAGAGCTGAAAACGGTGTTTTAGGAGATATTTATACACTCATGTTCATGGCTGTCTTATTCAGAATGGCTGGAAGGTGGGAGCAATCCAAGTGTCCAGTGACAGGTGACTGGATAAACAAAATGTGGCATATCCATACAACGGAACATTAGTCAATCTTTAAAAGGAAGGAAATTCTGACACATGCTACAACATGGATGAACCAGAGGATATTATCTTGAGTGAAATAGGCCAGTCTCAAAGGGACAAATTCTATATGATTCCACTTAAATGAGGTCCTACAGAAGTCAAATTCATAGAGACAGAACGTCGAATGGCGGGTGTCAGGGGCTGGGGGAGGGGTGGGGAGTTACTGTTTAATAGGAACTAGGTTTCAGTTTAAGAAGATAAAAAAGTTCTGGAGATGGATGGTGATAATGGGTGTACAACAATGTGACTATACTTAATGGCCACTGAACTGGACACTTTAAAAACATTTAACACCATTTTAAAGGAATAGTTAATAGGCTTTAAAAAAAAAACCAGATTTGTGGTGGTGATGGTTGCATAGCAATATGAATGTATTTAATACCACCAAACAGTACACTTAAAAATGGTTAAGATGATAAATTTTATGTTATGTGTATTTCACCACAATAAAAAAAAAGACATTTGACAACCAAATGCAATATACAGACCTTCTTGATTCAAAGAAATCAACTATAAAAACACAAGTAGGGCAGTTTGAATGTGGACTGGAAATTTATATAAAATTATATTGTTAGTTTTGTAAGTGTGGTATTAGTAAGAAAATGCCCGTGTGCTTTAGATGTGTAACCTGAAGTTGGTAAAACCATATATGGTCTGGAATTTGCTTTAAAATAGCTCAGAAGACAAGAAAGAAGAAAATGGCTTAATGATGCTAATCTGCAAAAATCTTGATAATTATTAAATTGGGGTCATGGATATGTGGTGGTCACGGTGCGGTTCTCTCAGCTGTTCATGTATTTGAACACGTTCAGAATAAAATGCTCTTACAAAACAAGTAGTCAAAAAGTGAAGGCAAACTTCTAAAACACGAGGGCAAAAGTGTTCGTATCATTGAATTCTAAAAATTTAAATCATTTTGCCCTAGCCCCTTCGGCTCAGTGAAGCATCGACCTGTGGACTGAAGGGTCCCAGGTTCAATTCCAGTCAAGGGCACATCCCCAGGTTGGGGGCTGATTCCCAGTAGGGGGCATGCAGAAGGTAGCCAATCAATGATTTTCTATCATCATTGATGTTTCTAGCTCTCTCTTCCTCTCACTTCCTCTCTGAAATCAATAAAAATATATATCTAAAAATATAAAAAATATTTTAAAATTTTAAAATCATTTTTAAAAATTTACTCACTAGTATTTCATCATCTTAACATTTTCATAGTGCATGTAATAAATACAGCAGAATACTGTTGTAACTGATAAATAAAAATATACATTATGGGTGTGCTGAAAATGTGTTTGTTTTACTGATAGGCGTAGGAGTTCAGAAATTTAAAGATCATGGCTATAGATTCTTCAAGTCTTTTCATGGTACTAAAAAGTGACGGGAATAGGAAACTAAGGCAAAAGCTGGCCATTCAAGGAGAAAGTGACAGAAATAGGGAACCGAGGCAGAAGCTGGCCATTCAAGGAGGCTGTGGCGGAAATGGCATCTTAAACAGGGTCTCCTGATTCGGAATACCCTACAATGCTTCTCTTTTCTCCATGATAGGACTGACTTTCTTATTTCCCGAGTTATATGAAAGTTTGTTCCTACCACCTTCTACTGTAGTAAATCTTTGGCCAAATGGTAAAGAGCTCAAGTTTTGGAGTCTGACAGCCCTTGGGTTCGAATCCCAGTTCTACCACTTTCTAGCGGCAAGCTCAGAGGCACTCACCTCTCTCAGCCTCCATTTTCCACCTGCAGGTTGGGGACAATAACCACTGCATGGCAGAGTCATGAAAGGGCAACAAGACCATAAAGTTCTGGCCACAGTAGGTGCCCAATAAGCATTAGCTGTCATTACTATTATAAACTAGTGGCCTGGTGCACTGGTTTGTGCACATTGAAAGGAAATTAATGAGAAGGTGGCCAGGCCAGCAGGGTGGGACTGGAGGAGGCAGGCCAGACACGCCCTGGAGCCAAACTCCCGCGGTCCCTCCCTGGCCAGCCACACCTGGTGCCATGGCTCGATCCGGCAGGTGGGGTCCCTTGGTCTGCCTTAGGGGATCGGGCCGAAACCAACACTCTGACATCCCCTGAAGGGTCCCGGAGTGCAAGAGGGCACCCTGCAAAGGTGCTGTGGTACAGGGTGTGGAACACAAATGCAAGTGTGCAATAAACCAGATTTGGGGCCGACAGTGCCCCAGCAACAACATAAGGTGGAATTGCAGGGCCCCGGGAGGAATCAGGCTCCCTCTTCTCTGGTTCCAGGGTATGTCACCCGAGAACTGCTGCTGCCAAGTCACCGCAGCTCCACAGCTCCTGTGTTGAGTGTCTGCCCCCTGGTGGTCAGTGTGTGTCATAGGGAAAAGTCTGACCAGTAGAATGGTCACTTAGCCTTTTATATATATAGATATAGATTATACTTAATCATTTTCCTTGGGGAACAGGGTGTGTTTTATTATCTCTTTAATTCACTGACCCTTTTTCCTCCCCTAAAAATCTCTTCTTAATGGGTCTGTGGAAATAATTCATTCTAATCCCTTCGAGAAGCCTCGCTGTTTCTAAGGGAACTGATCAAATTTCTTTTTAAAAATAAAATGAAAGGAAAAAGGAGGAGAAGGGAAATAAACGGGGACTAAATAGAAGGGAGAAGAGAAAGAAGATGAGTCCTGGAGAGCGGGTAATAGAAGAACAGTGTTTAGCATTGTACCTACAGATGTTAGGTGCACCCTAGTTATTTAGGAAGTGATAGATGGATAGATGGAAGGAAGGGTGGATGGGTTGATGGGTGGACTGATGAATGGATGAATGGATGAATGGATAGGTGCCTAGATGGATGGGTGGGGAGGAGAAAGTCAAAAGGACCTCAGTGTCCTGTCACCACCATTCCCTTTCTACATGATGCCAGAATGTGCCACCAGATGTCAGGCTAACCTCAGGAAACCACCTCAGAGGCCAAACTGGCACCACCTTTCTCACTCAACCTGAGATCTTAACGGCTCCCATAGATAATCCAGTCTTCCTTGCATCCTGTATTTACACAGCCCTCATTGGCACACGGCAAACCCCACTGGCATCCATACCCAGCTCCCCCTTCCAGCAGATGGGAAACAGGAGAAGGGCCGTGTGGTGCCGGACTGGAGCAGCAGAGGGTGGGAGAGGGGCTTTAGGGTCCCGGGAGTGATCAGCACCCATGCCAGCCTCAGCCCCGGTCGTCCTGAAATCAGTCTTTCACATCCCACCTGATCTCTGCCGGAAGCCACACGGCTCTGAGCTTTTGCCAAAGAAACACTTGAGAAAAAGAAAAAGGAACCGGTGCCGGCTCTCCTTCCTCTGTGGCCAGAACTGATCCTTCGCACAACATGCCTTCGGCCCTCTGGCAGCCCAGAAAGAGCAACTTCCCAGAGACACTGAGCCCAGGGAGGCCACGGGCCAGGAGCACATGAGAGGGACAGCTCGAAGCCCAACCCTTGTCTGCACAGCAGGTCCCAGGAGAAGATCCCCTTCGGGGGCAGAGAGAAAGGGGGGCCAGGACCAGGATCTCCAGAGTCACCCCATTCTCACAGCCCCCTCTTTACCTTCATTACAAACGTGTCTTTCTGCCACTGGTTGAGGAGAGCAATTCCTGTCTTCTCCCCCCCGCCCCCCCCAACCCTCCCCGGAAAGTGGCATTTCTCAGCAGGTTCACGCCCATTGGAATTATCTGCAAACCCCTCCCAGGTCCCCAAGCAGGGTCCTCTGAGGATACCCTGCTTCACCTACCATTAACCCCTTTGCTGCGATACCATGAGATGTCCCGGGGGTTCCCAAGGGGTGCTCAAGGCAGCTGATATTAATCAACAGACAGGGAAGGCATTTGAGGTGTCAGCAGCCAGCACAGCTTATGAACGTGTTCCAGTCGCAAGCACCCGCCCGCCCCCTCCCCCCAGAATTTGTGAGAAATGAGCTGTGCCTGACCTCAAGAGACCCCTCGTATGGCCCCGTACCCCGGGTCCCTGCCCAGGGCTGGGGCTGGCCATCCACCCCGTGCATACTCACTCCCATTCCTTCCTCCTGGCCTGGGGGGTGCTTTGGATTTTGTGCGCCTGGTGGGCCAAGATGACATCCCGGTGGTCCACCAGGCCACCCCGCCGCTTCAGAGGGGGCCCCTCGCAGCTGCCGCTCATCCGGTGGGACCGTGTGACCTGCAAGGTGCTGGGTGGGCCCAGGGGGGCCGGATCTGGGGGCCCTGAGCCACCGTCCTGCAGGGCATCATAATGACCACGGGAGGAGAACATGGGGTCTGGGACTCAGGAAGACTTCGCCATCCATGGGCCTCGCTCAGAAACCTCGGGGTCTTCTGCCTCCAGCACAGGGTGAAACTAGAGAAGAAAGAGAGAGAGAGGGAGAGTGAAGGGGTGCAGAGAGAGTGAGCACAGGGGCAGGAGAGGAGGCAGATCAAAGCACAGTGCAGGCGACCAGACAGCCTTTCCCGGGAAGTCAAAATACACCCGAGGCCCAGCCCACCGGGATTTAGTATTTCCTTGGCAACTCCGGGCAGGAAAGCCGGTTCTTAGGAGCTGCCTGGCAACAGATGCCGACGATGGAGTGAAAGGCCATGAGCTGTGTCCCCGGACACACGTTCCACCTCAGAGGTGCCGGCCGCAGAGGGAGGGTCGCTGGATGTCTCAGCACCTCAGTGTTCCCCTCTGCAAAATGGGTCGTCAGGAGCCTGCTTGGTCGGGATCCTCGGGTCCCTGGGTCCTGTGAGCTCCAGAGAGCCACTTAGAAAACGGGAAGGGCGAGTTCAAGGTTCAGCTTTAAAATCCACGCGGGTGTGGCCACCTGCCAAGGGAGCCTGCTCTGGCCACCTCCGCTGGCTTTCTGGAAAGAGAACATGGACAAGTTCCCACCGCGCATGAATGTTCCAGGTGGATACTCAACACCAGAGGAACTCACAGCCCCGAGAAGATCTCTGTGTCCATTCCACTCACTTATTCATTCAACGAACGCGGAGTGAGGCCTCCATGTGCCCACCCTGTGTTGGGCAGCTGCGAATGAGCCAGACATAAGTCCCCCACATCATGGGATGGACATTCTCGGGGTGAGAAGGGCAATGAACAACATAGGAACGTTACGTAGAGATGAGGAATTGAAAAGTGCTCTGGAGAGAAACTGAACGGGGAAGGTGCATTTGTTGGCTGGGGCCATTGTAACGAAGTGCCAGGCTGGGCAGCCTAAACAGACTTTTATTTCTTCATCCTTCTGGAGGCTATGGGTCCGAGATGAAGGTATCAGCAGGGATGATTTCTCCTTGGCCTGTAGCTGACCTTCCTCTCCCTGTGTCTTCATATCACCTTCCCTGTGCATGTCTGTGTCCTAATCTCCACTTCTTCTAAGGACACCAGCCACACTGGATTAGGACCTCGTTTTACCTTCATTACTTCTCTAAAGATCCATCTCCAAATATAGTCGTAATTCTGGGGTGCTGGGGGTTAGAATCTCAACATCTGAATTTGGGGGGGACACAACTCAGCCCGGAACTGATAGAAGTGTTCGGTGGGCTGGTTACTGTGTTAACTAGGGGGTCAGAGAGTGTCACTGAGGAAATGACATCTAAGCAGACACCCTAGGAGCGGATGCAGTGGCCATGTGGGTACGTAAGGGAAGAGTGTTCCAGGCAGCAGCCCCAGGAGGGCCCACAGGGCAGGTTGCAGTATTAAATCAAGTGGTCAAGGTGAAAGTATTGACCTATAGCACTTTAGTATCGTAGGCTGAAGGAATCGCATGTGCAAAGGTCCTGAAGCAGGGCCACACATGACTCACTCAAGGAATAAGGAGGAGCCTGGGGTGTCTGTGATTGATCAAGGAGGAGAGGAGAGGGGAGGAGGGTGCTTGTGCAGGACCTGCTGGACCACGGGGAGGACTTTTCTTGGTTCTTCTTGGAGTGAGACAGTCCATGGCTTTCGAAATGCACACCTCACCCAACAGCATATTTTTAATCCCAAACTGATTTTTCCCACCAGCATCAGCCCCTACCATTAGCTTCTCCATGTCTGCCCAAGAAAAAGCAAACCCACTGGAAGGCCAGTATGAATAAAACAGCATTAGGTTAAACCTCAGACGCAAATATTGCACAATCACCTCAACACCCAGAAGTGTAAGGAGATGGGTGCAGAGAACAAGACCACCCCAGGTTGCAAAAAAACAAAACAAAAAATGGGTGTGAGAAGACAGGCTTAGCAACCTTCTGTTTCCTCTCCCCCTGTTTGAAGTATCCACAGATTCAATAACTCTCCCAGTCTCCCTGAAGCACACAATTTGATATAACTTTCTTTCCAAATCATGTAACTAATGGAGTTTAATAGATCTATCCTTCCTGACACCTTGAAGCTTCTATTTTATCCCACAAAACCTTACTTGTAACTGCCTCCAACCACGCATTTATAGTCTTTTGTGCTTTTTCCAAATGCGTTCCCCTCATTTTGATAAAAAATCTGTGATTCCTTTTATAAGCACTTACACATAGAAGGCATTTTGTTCCCCATTTTACAGCAATAAAACTGAGGACAGAAGGTAGATTCAAGCTTCATCACTACCTTCAGGAGTCATCCCTCTCCTGCCAAAAAAAATTTTTTTTTAATAAAAACAATGCTACATCATTGATTGTCATCTGGTAGTAACATACGGGTAATGAGAGCAACATGAATAAATGTTGAAGAACTATACTCCCAGCAAAGGACACCCAAGGAACACAAGCTGTATTGCTTCTCGACCATTTCTCGCTTCCTTCGTCATTTCCAGGTGGAGACGCTTGGGAGCAGAGTAACAGTATCTCCTCTCAGCATGAGCCAACAGCGACACGGCCCTCTGCTGCATGCTCACCTGCACAGCAAGCCACACCTGAACCTGAGGTCTATTTTGCAAGGATCTGAAGATGAGGTTGATGGGCTGCACCACCACCTTCTGTACTTTGTGGCCCTGGCCATGGTACGCCTGGTAGCTAACAAAGACCACCCCCAAAATAATATTCTTACTGCATCAACCTCAAAGAGAGATGCCCCCAAGTAAAGAGAGAGAGAGAGAGAGAGAGAGAGAGAGAGAGAGAACCCAGCTGTCAGGTTGGGTGTGCTGTGTAGTATCTACAATTTAGCTAAGACCTCAGAAACCAGGCGCAGTGGGAACACTTTCGTGGAAAAAGATTCAGGCACCTACAGAAAGGGTATTTGTACCTGGGAAGGTGGGAGGAGGAGCAGGAAAGACAAAAGCTAAGACACACACAGCTCAGGTGCCAATTTTTGAGACATCCACACGCTGCGTTTCCCGCCCTGCAGTAAAGCACATGGTCCCCAGTGCTAATGGCTGAACCATTCGGTGAGTTGTCACTCACCGTTCCTTACTTCCCTTCACTCCTTGAGTCAAATCCATCGCAGGTCCTACCCACTCACTTCCAAAACACATCCCGAATCCCATCCCCTCCCACCACTCACTGCACAGCCCCCCTCGGCTCTCACTTGCACTCAGGTAGTTGCTTCTCCCAGGCCAGTCAGCTTCCCCACTCCCCGCTGCCAAACTGCATCCTGCAGTCAGTGGGGTCTTTTTGAAACTACCGTCAGCCCTTCCACTGTTATAATAATACAGGCCACACAGGGCTGTCTCTTCTCTCTGACCTCATCCCCGCCTTTCTCCCCTTTGCCCTCCAAGCTCCGGACTCACTAGCCTCCTCACCCTTCCCGGTATCTGCCAAGCTCATTCAAGCTCTGTATCTATTGTTCTCTCTTCCTAGAATGCTGTTCCCTGGGGGCCAGGTTCCTCTCATCATTCAGGGCTGTAGCTAAATGCAGGCACACTCTTCACGTCTTCCAATGAGATCTTGCCCGTGGGGATGGTCCCTCTCTGGAAATGGGACTTAGGTGTGGGCCTGAATAACAGCTGCCTCCCCCCATAGGCTGAGGATCTTGTTCTGTTTTGTTTGCCATTGTGTCCCTGGCACCTTAAACATTTCTTGCATGAATGCATGAATGAATGAATGAATGAATGAATGAATGAATGAGTTCAGGAAACCATCATCACACACTTTGCAAACTTTGCCTGAAGTCAAGGACTTCTAAGTACAGATGGGATAGAGTGTGGTTGGGAGGAAGATGTATTCGGTGCCAGGTCAGACCTCAGCACACAATGCACTAGCTGTGTGGTCCCCAGAAAATTACTTAACCCTTCAGTCTTCTAAACAACGTGGGGTGATACCATCTGGTGGGTCAGTGAGCTTACCAGTGACAAGGCAGCACCCTGAGCACAGCACGGGGCCAGGGGAAGTGTTTGGTCAACACTGGCTCTTGTGTTGATACTGCAGCCGGTGGGCGGAGCCTGGTGGCCATGGGGAGAGGGGACAGCTGCTCTAACAACACCATCTAGTGCGTTCTGCAGAGCCCTCGCCAGCAGTTCCACCAGAGCCCCAGCTGTCCTGTGTGTACACAGAGAAACAAACCTGGCCAACAGGCGCTTCCCAGGCAGGCGTCCCTCCCTGGCACCTGCCAGGCCCTGTGCCCAGGTGTGCTATCCCCTTTCTCTGTTTGTCCAACCACAGCACGGAGGACAAAGCGCATGGGTTGGCTTCCCCTAGAAGCAGCCAGGTTTCATGAACAGACGGTTCCAAGAGAAGACAATGGGGGAAAGCAAATAGAAAAAAAATAAGTAGCTTTAAGCCTGAGGCCACAGAAAGCCTTGCCATTAACGCAATGAGAACAGAACTTTCCAGAAGCACCTGTATCCACCACTTCCCCAAATCCAAACGGAAGCCACACCTGAGACAGGGACTGACCCCCAACTCCATGCCTGGACCAGCCTAAGTTGCCATGGCAACTAGATAGTGTCTGCAGGTGCTCCTGATTGATACAGGCTGGTCCAGAAGCTATGGAAGAGGAGCAGGGAGGGAGGGACCCCAGGAAATCTGGGGGCCTTCTGTGACCCACCTCATATGGACAGGCCACCAGGCTTCCCCACCCACAGGTGAAACAAATGCTAGTAACTGATGAAGAGCAGCTTTATCTGTGCTAAAAATCAGTAAAAAGATGGCACTTAGCAAAAAGAGTAAAGGAAAAACATTCCCTAAAACTTTGCAAGCTCACACATTAGAAATACACACGCTACTCCTAAGGAGAGGATGAGAACTCAAAAATGTCCATGAAGTCCTTCATCCAGGAAATAAAAATAAGGCCAGCCCTGGCCAGTTAGATCAGTAGTTAGAGCATCCGCCCATGGCCTGAAGGTCTCAGGTTCAATTCCCAACCAAGGGCACGTACCTCGGTTGCAGGCTCAATGCCCAATCCAGGTTGAGGCGTGTGTAGGAGGCAACCAACCCATGTGTCTCTCTCACATCAAT